TGAATCCGCAGTTATCCTGAAAAATGTTTACCATAGTTTGATGAGTTTGGCTACTCAGTAAGTGATCATCATAATCCTAAAAATAATCATGATTGAAAGATATCAATATTTTCCAAAATGAGATCTATTAACAGAAATGTATCAACAGTTTCACTTTCAATAAATGCATAATTAAGTATAATCGGAGTAATTGAAATGCTTATAACACTTTTAACGGCAGTACATAATTCAAAGGATTTCACAAAATACCCTACTGGCGTCCCAAGTAGGTCACCTATATACCCCATCAGCGTCCTGATGGGTCCACTTAATCCCTATCGGCGTCCCAGATAGGTCCACTTAATCCCTGTAGGTCCACTTATACCCCACCGGCGTATCGGATGAGTCCACTTAATCCCTACCGGCGTCCCAGATAGATCCACTTATACCTCACCGGCGAACCGGATGAGTCCACTTGCATACTTAAATTATTTCTAAATCTCTTTAAACATTCGAAAGCAGCAATATCATGTACTCAACATATCACTGAAACCATTAATATGAATTTCACTTAAACCATTAATAACAGTCACTCTTTATAACATTTCAAAAATAACCAATCAAATATTTTGGGCTCAAATTTAGAAAGGTAGTAGTTTGTAAAGGCATTCTAGCATAATTGCCAATTTAATATGTATAAAAAAACTCTTATAAAAATTCAAGAATACAGAATTATCACAATTTATGGGATATCAACCCACAAATAAACATTTCACAATAATAAGGCAGTCATTTGCACATGAATTTTACAATGTCTAAATATTCAAAACAGTAGAAAGAAATATCACAATTTTACTAAAAGCAAAAATATCACATTTATTTCTAATAATTTGATAATATCTAAAATTTTCTAACAATAGCCAAGAAAAATAAATAAATTTATTTTTCTAAGAATTTACAGCATTCAAAATTTCTAACATAGATAAAATATCACAATTTTTGTCAAAAAGATTATTTTTCAAGATAATGAGGTCACGTGCGCATAAAATTTATCGCGCTTAAAATTCATGATAAAAAGCAGAAATAATTATTTCATTTTATTTTTAAAAAGAATGGATTATTTTTCGAGACAATGAGGTCACTTACACACAAAACTGATAAAATAAAGATCCTAGACGGAAATATCACTATTTATTAAAAATAGACTATTTTTCAGGAAGACGATGTCACTTACCCACAAATGTTTGAGAGGGAGCTTCCGATAAAAAATTCGGTTCGAGAGAGGAGTTCACTGTGTTTCGACCAAAGAGAGAGAGAGATCTCAAAATTTTCTAGGGTGGGAGTGCTCACCTCCCCTATTTAAATTCTTATAACGTATTATTATAATATTTTATTACGCTCTACCTCATACCTGAGGTGTCGTGTGAAGCGTCTGCTTTTAACATTCGAAAACCACGTCCACTAAAGGACGTGGCAAGCAGCAAGCAGCATGAGGCAAAAGCAAAAGTTAAACCAAAGTAAAAGTTTTGAAAATAGTGATGGTCCCCAAGGACAATCATACTCAATCAGACCATCACCTATTAAAAGCATCATTTCCTCTTTTCTTTTTTTTTTTTTTTTTTTTTTAAATTTTTAGGATTGTTACAACCCGGTAGGGCTACATCCAAGGGTAGGGATACATCCACGGCCTCGGCAAATAGAAATCCACTATCTTACTGAAGATTATAATTTTAGATTATAAGAAATATACCTTTCTAAATATCGATAAAAAGACCATCATCGATCTTTTCTTCTAAACCCGCTCTCCTGACTGAGCAACACCGTCGATCAACATCATCTTTCCCACCATATCGCTATCGGAAAGATAACATTGAGAGCAAGATAGATATTTTCTCTCTCTAGAAGTGAAAGCTTTATCAACCAAAAACTCATGAGAATACCGCATCTCTCATATGCATGTTTTTCTCTCTTAGAGGCCCATCTCCATATTGGAGATCTATTCCTATAAACCCAAAAGGATGATGACCCTCAAAAGGATGATATTATGTCTTTTTTTATTCTTTTTTATAGAGATCACCTTGAGGTTCTTTCTTGTTCGCTAATAAACCTCTTTTCTTTTTATCATAATACCCAATCTTTTAATGAAAACATAGGTATAGTGGTTTTCACTATCATCAAACCTAACAATCTCCGCCTTGATAGTAAAATCATCATATTATCTTGCCGACCTTCATTGAATAGATTTCTTGCTTTTTCTCACCTGCCTCCGTTGTAGAATTTTCACAAACACTTTGCCTCTACATTTGTCCACCTCAAATCATGTATCCATCAAACTCCACCATTCATCTTTTTCTTAATGCAAACCTTAGCCATGTACATACCTTATGCTCTAATACCAATTGTAGGGTTCTCGAGAACTCCTAGCTTATGGAACCATGAATCCCAATACCAAAATCCTACCCAAGATCGTGTAAATAATTGGCTAAATTGCGAAGTAGATAAATACAATTACAAATCGAGCACAAGAAATAAAGTAAAAATAAAAGGCACACCACAACAACACAAAATTTACGTGGTTCACCCCGTAGGGTTACATCTATGGCCTCGACGAGTAGAAATCCACTATATGTAGTTCACCCCGCAAGGCTACATCTATGGTCTCGACGAGTAGAAATCCACTATCTCAATGAAGATTACAATTTTGGGTTACAAGATATATACTACTCTAAACATCGATAAAATACCATCACCGATATTCCCTTCTAAACCCATTCTCCCGATCTAGCTCTTTTTTTCCACCGTAATACCGTTATCAGAAAGATAATCTCAAGAGCAATATAGAGATTTTCTTTCGTTAAAAATGAAAACCTTATTAATCCAAAACTCATGAGAGTACCGTATCTCTCGGAGGCCATGTCTCTCTCTTAGAGACCATCTCTATAGTGAAGATCCATTCCTATAACTCCTAAAGGGGTGACTATAAAAAATATGCCCCTAAAGAGGTGACTATTAAAAAGATGGTATTATGTCTTGATTCTCTTTTCTAGAGGTCACTTTTGACCTTTATATATATATATTTTTTCTCTTGCTCCTCAACTTTTTTTATTATTATTTACTAGAATACCTTTAATCATTTAATAAAAACATAAATAAGGTGATTTTGATTATCTCCAAACTTAGCAGTAAAGTCCCTTCAAGTCTTTTTAATGTGAATAAAAGGGATAATAGGTGAATTCAAGCAAGAAGGGATTTAAGTCTTTTTAATGTGAATAAAAGGGATAATGGGTGAATTCAACCAAAAACTGAATAATAGGTATCAAGTTGACTCCAGGATTTGGAGTGGGCTTCTTATACGCAAGGTATAAAAACCGGGATCAGGTGGCTGGGCCAGCACCTGTTGGGTTGATCCGCATCAACCGAGACTCTAAAATTTAACCAAAAAAAAAAAACAAACCGACATGATTAGACTCCAATATATGGACTTGAGATGAGTAAGGCAGTTCTGAGTGGGCCGAACTCCTTTCTAGTTTTTGACCTACTCGAGCTCCGCACCTTGGCGAGCTCAAGTTACCCCCAGAGGCTTAGGGATACAAAAGATTTCAATTATTTTTCGTGTTTTTTATTATTTTAGTAAAGATTAAAAAATGTTTCGGGTATCAATATTTATTTATATATATTTTTTGAATTATTTTAAAGAGTAAACATCTTATGAGACTTTTTTATTAGAATTTTAAAAGACTACTATTAAATTTGACACGAATTTTTTAAAAATTCAAATTTTTGTAAGATTTGATTTTTTTAAAGATCAATGTCAAATTTAATAATGAACTTTTAGATCTTATGGGTGTTGGATTATTCTATTTTAAAAAACCCACACTCACTAGTCTAATTTTTTACTACTTTTTAACCTTATTTTGAAGTTTGATTAATCTTATTTTAAGCATATATTTTTTATTTTTTTATAAATTTTTAATCATGTTTTACTGACCTTACACGGGCCGAGTTCTTGGATCGGGCAAGGGCCCAGTAGGAGGCCCTTGGTGTTTTCCGACTGTGCTCATTTATATAGTACTGGGTCCGTACTTAAAATGGATTAGAACAGGGTAAAAGGGTCAAAAGGAGGAGAAGAGCTTTGACAGTTGGGCCCCACTCGTCAAAAAGTATAAACTCGAGGGCTCTTTTGGCATTCTCTGCTCTTTCTTTTCTTTTCTTTTTCACAGTGAGACAAAACACTGGCATGGGAAGCCGTGCGACAAAACACCATCATCGGTTCCATCCCACCTCTCTTTCTCTCTCTACAATCTGTCTCTTTCTCTCTCTACACCAGATTAACTCCCAACAACCCAAAGCAACACCCTCTTCTCGAAAACCGCCCCTTTATAAACACCTCTCCATTTCTTTATGCATTAATGGCCAGCACCCTTCGTAACCCTCGCCTCTTTTAGCAGGGTTCGAGTTTTGTTCTCCCTCTCTCTCTCTACTTTCTCTCTCTCTAGCTAGAAAGAAAGGCAGCTACAAGCCATGCCATCCCACCTCAAAACCCAACCCTCTCACTCTCTCTCTAAAACCAAACGCCGAAAACGAAAAGAAACCACCATCTCCGCCACCCCTTCCCCTCTCCAAACCCCTCCGGAGCCCCTCAAACCCCACCGGAAACAGCCGCCTGCGGTTGCCTCCGACGGCGCCTGGTGCTGCGCAGCGGCGAAGCCCTCTGCGGCCCCCTCCCCGCCCCCTCCCCCTCCCCCTCCCCCTCCCCCTCCCCCTTTCTCTCCCGAGACTGTGAAACGGACCTCCGCTTCCTCGCCCTTCTGTGCCTCCCCTGTTATGGACTCCTCCACTCTTTCTCTCTCTACATTTCCTTCGAATTACAACAAGTTCACCACTGCACTTAATGCCGGCCTCTTGAACCCCCTCTCTCCTCCTCCCCCTATGGAGAAGACGAGGTCGAGCCCTACTTTGTCGGAGATGATGAGGACCGAGCAAGATAGTAGGCCGAGGTATCATATTCCTGTGATGAAGCAGCCGGTTTCCGGCCAGGGGGATAGCCACTGTCTGTTTCAGGAACAGGTGGCTGAGATTTTGGGTAGCTGTAGCCCTGGGAACTTGTTCAATGATTTGGGGAGCAGCGATGTGAAGCTTACATTGAGCTCAAGGGATGGGTTTAGTGTGACCTTGAATTTGCATCGGCAGATCTTGGTGGCCAACAGTCGGTTTTTCGCGTCAAAGTTGTCGGAGAGGTGGTCAAAGCAGCAGAGGTCGCTGCCGCATTTGGTGGAGATTTCGGATTGCGATGATGTGGGGGTTTATATGGAGACTTTGAGGTTAATGTATTGTAAGGATCTCAAGAGGAAGCTTATGAAGGAGGATGTCTCTAAGGTCTTGGGTATACTCAAGGTATGGCCTTTGTTCTCTGTAGTTTTTAGTTTATTTATCTACCATTTGTTATCTTTGTTTTGCCTTGTGTCTGAAATTTTTCTCTTTTTTTTTTTATTCTGGCAATGCTTGGTTTGTAACTTGTACTTCTCACTTCTTCTAATAACGGTTTCAGAATGAAATATAGATTTTTGCAGATTGATCTGGCCATGATTCCTTTATATTTGTTTTTGTTTCTTTTTTCTCCTTTGATGAATTATTTCTTGTGATACTTCGCTATTCGCCATGTTTCTAGTCTCTCAATATGGTGCAATTGATTCTATTTCCATTGTTGTTCTTATTATAATTGCCATTGATGTATGGGTGTCGTATTTTTCAGTAGCCTTTTCTCATTTAAACATTTACATTTTTGGAATTATGTAGGTCGAGTCTATGATGCCAATTGGGCCAGATTTGTACACAACTAATTATTTTAGCTATTGTAGGCAACATTACTTATAGCAGTAAAGTTGCACTGCCCATTTCTGTTGGATAGTTTAACATGTTTTAAAACGTGCCAGATTTTGAAACTGTTGTAAAAGATGTGTCCAATCTGCCTCTTAGGATTAGAACACGGCGGCCTGACTTCTACAAATGAGGTTGTACACCGCCGTCTGACTTAACTTATATGAACCTCGCCCTTCTTGTGAGTTTTGTGTAACGCGCCCTCCTTTATACTAAAGAAGTAAGGCCCAGCTGTAAAATTTGCTTGGAGATGCAGTTCTGGTGTCGGATACTTTATGATGACTTGAAAATCTAATCTATTTTTATCCCTAGTTATGAAATTTAAAATTTCAAAAATTGTTAAGATTGATCAGGATGTATAATCACTTGAAAATCTTGAAAATAAATTGTCTAAATAACTTGTTACAAGATGAACTATTTTTAGGACTTGGAATTCCTTTTTTCTTCATATCCACACATCTCGAGGTTGAGATGATCAACTAGCGGGTTCTCTAGTGTTACTTACTTCAATAGTATAAGGTTGAAAACTTATATCAATTTTTTTCCATATATATATATGTGGGCGAATTTGAATAATGTTTCGCCCCGCAACGGACATAGTATGTCCGTTGCAGTTTATACTGAGAAACCACAACGGCTCTACGACAGCAGTGGCAGAATCCCATGATTTTTTGCGTGAAAAAAAGACCGCAATGGACATAGCATGTCCGTCGCGGTCTTTT